AGCTGCCATGCTGTAACTTTGTTGTTTTTAAAGTTTGGGAGTTGGAATTTTCTATGGATTCTATTTTTACGACATGCCAAATTTCATATAGATCGGCCTACTACATCCTTTAGCTGCCATATAACTGAAGAATCGGAAATTACCCAACTTTCGCATTTTTAAAGATAGAAACTTTGAACTTTGTACAGATTCTATTTTTGTTAATTAATCCGACCTGCCAAATTTCATAACGATCGGCCGACTATATATTACAGCTGCCATATAACTGAAAAATCGGAAATGGTATTTGGTTAAACTACCGACTTTGGTTTTCTTGAAGATAGAGGTTTGGGACTTTTTTTAGATTTTGTTTTGTAATGAATGTGTTATATTACGATGTCCTCATAAGGATCGGCCAACTGTATCCGATCCGGTTTTAACTGCAAGGGTATATTTAATTCTGCTCCGCCCGAAGTTAGCTTTCCTTTCTTGTTTGGAATTAACTTGTTGCAAAATTAAAAGTGAAAACTGTATGACTTGTATAACACTTGTGGAAATTGTGAGCCTTCTATTGTTCCAGTGATATATTAAAAGAAATTATCTGTTATCATAAAATGACAAAAATGGAGAAACGTTGAAGACAGAGTAACTTCGTAGCAAAGTAGATGTGTACATTTTCATAACTTCGATTATAATCGATTATAATTATCAAATAAATTAAAAATCATCATGGAAAATTTGAAAAAATATTGCTATTCTCGGACGGAAATTTATTTTTTGGAGCTTATTAAAAAAAAAATCGATTTTTTAAAAAAAAATCCAAAAGAACCTCCCCTTAAGGATTGCAAAACAATAGAGTGGAACTATTTTGCAACTTCTCATGGAAAAGGTACAGTCGATGGCGTCGGTGCGGTCCTTAAACCAAACCTTGGTCATTAACCAAAAAAAAGAACTTAATATTAAATGATCCGTTTGCTTTCTACAATTGTTGCAAAAACAACATTTTGGGAGTCAATTTGTTATACATTGATGAAGATACAGTTAAAATAAAGTCAATAGCTAATTCCAAATGTTCCAGGTATCAGTAAAAATGTTATACATATAGGTCGGACGGCCTATTCTAAAAAAAATAAATTAACATATATATATATATATAAATAAAACAATATATATATAAATATATATCCTTATATGTAATACATATTTATGTTTCTTGTTTTGAATAAATTTCTTTGTAAAACTAAAAATTTTTAATGTTTTTACAAAAGAAGTTTGGTGAAACATGAATTTTTATGAAAATATAAATTTATTTATAAAAAGAAAGGGGTAAACAACAAAAAAAAAAAAAACAAAATATATTATGTATATATGGAAAAATCGTACGTTCGCGACTCGCGACTTAATTTAATTAAAAAAAAATGAAAGGAGATATTGTATTGGAAATAGAATCGATAGAAAGCTACATGCCTCTATTTTAAAAGTAAAGTTATTGCATTAAAATATTCCATTCCATTCGCAGATTTTTTGATTTTGCTAAGCCAAACCCGACTTCCATTTCGCGTACGTTTGCGACTTAATTAACACTAAGAAAAGAACTCACCAAATGCTATCGGAAACAAAAAAAAAAGTTTCAGGAAATGTTTTTTCTTTAACTTTTTGCACTAATTGCGTATTAGGCGAGGATTAGCCCATATATATTCTTGATCAGCATCAACAGCTGTGTCTATATAGCCATGTCCGTCTGTTCAGAGCTACCCGGTTTGGAACTTGAACTCCTGCCCCCAAAACAGAAATCTCGTTTGTTTGTCAGCGCCAGTTTGTTTGTCAGGGCTGCGAATTCCCATTGCTCTCGTTCCTCCATTGTTGTTGACAAATAGCAAAAAAAAAAACAATTTTTGTGTTTTTCCTATTCTCCTCAATCGTACTAATTCGAATGCATTCTTTTGTTGGGTTGCCGAAAGCTTTTTACCTCAAACAATATATTCGTGTTTTTGTTTTTGCCACAATGATCGACTTGAAGCGATGAATTTATTATTCGTAGAACATTTTTTAAGTGAGCCTTGCATTTTTTTTCATAATAATAGGCTGTAGTAAAAAATGGACGACCATTTTTTAATTGCTAAATTTTTAAAATGTATGTTTATTCTAATAATATTTATTTTGCTCTTCCGTATCCAGATCATGGGCACCGCTGGTTTAAGTTTTTCGAACATGTTTGATTATAAACTTTTCCAATTGCTAAGCTAAAAAAAAATCAGCCAAATCGGATGGTGTTGTTGTTGTTTTGCCCAAGCGCAAAGGTATGCAACATTAATATTTTGCTGAGAATCCATAAACTGTAAAGGTTAGTTAAATTGTGGGTGGTCGGGAAATAATATAGTCGGGAAACTCGAATTTAGCCATCCATTCTTGTTTTTCATGAAATGACGATTATTTATTGATAAAAATAAATAATCTGGGTCTGTCGTTGCGCGGGCTTATTAAGAGTGAAAGAAATTGCGACTGACCATTAAGGATGTAGTCTCATGTGCCGGCCTACTTTTTAGAGGTTATTTCAAACAATTTTTTTTGTAATAAAAAATAATGCGATCGTTTCAATTTTCAAATATGTTTTTATAAGCATCATAAACTATTTGAAAATATTTTGTTTAATTTATTCTTGTGTAGTTTATTACACTTTATAGCATGCCAAAGTATGGATATAAAAAAAAAAGATAGGTCCCTGGCGCAGGTGATTTCGACTGCTAGAGTCATCCGAAACAAAAAATTAGAATAGATTATTGTTTTGTAAGCTAATGGCTCTGTCCCGTACTAGAATGAAATATTTTCATCAATAAACAACAAAATGGCGAACTAACAAAACAAAAAATTTAAAAAAATTAAAAAAATTTATCTTAAATTATTGATAAAAAAAAAACTAATCATTAAAAATAAATGATTCTAGTACGGGACAGAGGTGTTACTTTTTAGAACAACATATCCAAATTTCAGCTAGATCGGTACAATAGAATTTTGTGAATCACCTGCGCCGCACACAAAAATGTCGTTTCGAGAAAAACGCGTTTAAAGTTTAGACGCTACCGAGAAACTCATACTTTTCGGTGTAGGCGCGCTCTCGATTATGGGCTGTATCTCTGTCATTATTTGATATTTTTATTTGAAACTTTAACAGTACATTCATAATAAACAATACTATCAAAATATACAAAAAAAATTGATTTTTTCAACCTCACACATGAGACTACATTCTTAAGGCAGTTTCCACCGGACTATGAGTTCCCGATATCATACGTAGAGGCCACCTCCCAGCCAACTAACGTAAATTGCGTAAATAGGTTCCATCCCCCGAAGTTTATGCGGTTCACCTAAGAGAATAAATTGATAAAATTTGACCTTAATCTTCAGGACAGGTATCGTTCCCGAGATTTGGTTGCGGACAAAGGTTGTCTCTATACCCATAGTGGGTATAAACCATTGCACTGCTCCCCTAAGGACTTCAGACCAATAAGTCAGTCGTCGTTCGTGTGTAAGGCAATGAAAAAGCTTATTAACCTTCACATTCATCTTACCATTAACCCAAATGATATTTCGAAACGAAACTAGGGGTAGACGATCAATCCGTGCACCTGATAAACAGATCGTGGTTAAACGACACTAGGAGGAGAGGCTCAGAGATTCGTCAGGGGAGGCACTCTGCAAAGAGGTGTACTCTTATCCCTTTTCAAAACGTGGCAGTTAACAACCTACTGCCATCTTTATAGGGTTGTGGATGCAAAGCTTTTGCTTATGCGGGTGATGTTGCAATTGCCTTCACTGCAAAATTGTCACAGACTCACAGACAAAGTAAGGGTTCTCTCAACATGTGCAATAAGAACTGGCTGGGAGTAAACCCATCTAATACCCTACTTGTCATTTTCACTAGGAAGTACGAAATACCAAATACCAAGTTTAAGAGAGAGAGACCAAGAGACTTACCCTCATTGGTAACGCCAAATACCTCGGAATTACGCTAGATAGAAAACTGGACTGGAAGCTAAATACTATTGATAGAGCAAACAAGGCGGCTATCGCGTTCTATATCTGGCGCAAAGTCCTTGGGCTTAAATGGGGTATATTTCCAAAAATAGTCAGATGGCTGTATACAGCAATCATTAAACCTATCCTCTTCTACGGGGTAGAGCTCTGGTGATCTGCCCTAACAACTGGCGAACTGCCCTATCTTTTATTATGGAAGCACTTAGATCCCCAGCACTTTCTGGCACTCAGGAAGTTAATTGTATTGGTACAAGAACTATTTGTATCAGATCGTCAAGCGGCACTCAGGGCGCTTGACGGATTTTCATCCAACTCTAAGACAGTGAATGACTGTTGCAGATCTCCCAACGATAGGGCAGTGCAGCATGACATTCACCTCATATTGCGCCACGTTGGGCATTAAATTGCGCCACTAACTAATTAGCAAGGACAGGAACTACCAACCCTCTCCTCACGGAGAAAGAACAAGTAGGCATTAAAATTGGTAGCATTAAAATAGAGCAGTCCCCAGATGATGCTTATCTCCCTTAACAGACAGGACTGCATTCTAGCGATGCGGGAAAAAAAAAAAAATTTGATTTCAAACTCCTTATTAATTATTTGCTTATTTTGTTATAATTCAATATATATGGTAAAATATGATCAACTTCATCTCTTAGTGGTTCCGGGGAGACTGTGGATGATGGACTCAGGAGAGCCCAAAGGTTACAAAGCTAGCAAAATTATATGTGGAGTGAAAAAAAAATTCAGATTTTATCGGAATGTGTTATTAGATTAGTTAGGATGACACCATTGTCAAAGTTCGTCTGCAAGTGAAAAACACTCCAATTTAATTATTACATCTGAGGCGGCCGAAGTTTGCTTTTCTTTCCCATTTCATACAAATTCAATAAATAATAAAAAGTTACATATGTACATACAAATACAAAAGATTTCAAATTAAGTCTATTTAAAAGTGTATTTTAGAATTATAATTTGTTACTTACCTGAGTCAAAGTTTGGAGACTCCGTATCATCCAATATTTCAATAATTTGTTCCATATTCCGCATAAACTGTTGGTATGTTTGGGATCGAGTATATTCATCTTTTGAACATTTTGTACTTAACAATGGCATAATTCTTTCAACTCGTCTTACTTTTGGCTTTGAGTCTGTGCATAATAGTAGATAAAATTTATAAAGTATTTATAATATTTTTCAAAAGTTAAACAAAATTGTTACTTACAAATTTCTTCTGGTGGAATGTCACCAATTGCTATAGCATTCTTTCGCTTTGCTGGAACCCGTGATTCATCAGCTTTGATTGTTGAAAAAGTATCAACTGTAGAATGTGTTGAGGTATGGCAGTCCCCACTCAAAATTCCAGAAACTAAAGGCATCATATTCAAGTTAACATTCAGTTGTTGAGTTGTTTCTGGTAGTAAACCCATACTTCTAGCCAATTCTGGTGACTTTTGTACAAACTTTTTAATACTCTGTTGCATTAGGCGTGTATCCTCAACATTAAGGCGATTTATACATACCCGTACCTGAGACTTGCCGCTTGATGAAGTAGATGTTGATGTTGTAGCGGAAGCAACACGTTGGTTCTGAATATCAGATGTTAAAGTTTGTGGGTGTTTGTCGGAAAAATAAAGAGACTGGCCATTAAAGCACTGAATTGAAGAATTATTTAAATTTGTAGTTTCTAGAAAGTTTCCTTCACTTTGTGATGTATATAAATTTTGTTCGTCTTTAGATTCAAACTGAAAAGATGATTTCAGATGAATTGGGAGTTCACTTTGGAAGGATCGTTGAAACTCATTTGGAGGATGATCCAAGTGATAATTTATTTTTAAAGAATCTTTTTTCTGATCCCTTAGGTATTTTGAATCTGAAAGTGTTCCTGGTGTCAAAGCAGATGTGTTTTCCAGTGATTCAATATATGTTGGTAAGGAATCATTTTTTTTGTTTACATTTAAATTCCGGTCGTTCATTTGCAAGCAATTGTCTAAAAGATACTCCGCGTTCCCACTAAAAATAAATGAAAATCTTTTAACATACACAAAACCCAATTTTTATGTATTACCTGGTTAATGGATTCAAGTAGGGTGGTGGCCTGGTTTGAGGTTCTAATTTTTCGTTACTATGACCAGAAACTTGTAAATAAGATTCTAACTCATTCTTAGTACCTTCGTTAAGGTAATGTTGATCATTTAAAAAACTTTGATCATTGCTCACTGCGCAGTACGTTTAAATATTATATGTTTTTGCTTTATAGATCATACTTACGTATATTTACAGCAGTGTTAAAAACTGATGGGCGAAATGTATAAATTCCCTGCAATAGCTCTGGATATGTACTAACGCAATCTGCAGCTTGTTGGATTTTGTAATGTGTTTTCAATACTCTAAAAATAACATACATAGATTTGAATTTTATACAGAATTTCGTACTTACATATTGTCAGAATTAGTTTTTTCAATAGCGTTCACCAATTGTTTCACCAGATTTTCATCCCTAACCGAAAGTAAGTTGTGGGATTCATGGGCTACTAACGTATGAAACAGTAAAGACTTATTTAAGGACGCTGCACTTCGCAGAGAATCCGAAACTGGCAACTCGCTTAGCACTTTTTTTTTTATAGAATATAAAGTTAGCGGTTGTGAACATATGTGCCGTATAGTATAACATTTATTTTTAATACATACAATCAGATGTGCTCGTTAATCCAGCCAATGTTGTGACAGGTACACTCGGGATGTCACGGTCCCCCATCTTTCTCGACGCTCAATTAATTATATTTACTTGCTCTTATTTGATGGCTTACTAAATTTGTAAGTGTATAACAACATATTAAAAATTAAAAAACAATACAAAAAATGATGCATAGAAAATATAAAGTATTAAATTAATGTGAAAAGTACTTTTTAGTGACTTTTTTATATACTGGGTTCACTCCGTAACAATGTTTATAAGGATAAAATGAATACACACAATCCTTTAAAATTAAACATAATACAGCTATTCAATTCATCAAATATATATTTTTTTTTTTCAAACAAAATTTTCATTAATGAACATAATAAGTACTTTAATATAATTTGATGGGATATTTATTTTCAAATATCGAGTAAAAAGAACATGGCCGACTTTCATATGTATGTGAAATGGAAATTTTAAATATTTATATCAAAGACCTAATGTCAGACGTACATCACAGGGTGTTTCATATTTGTCAATATTAAAAGATTCACCAGATATACCCTATTTACATTTACAGACTAGTAATCAAATTGATGACAAACACTACCATCCACGGGAAAATTTTCGGCGAGCACAACATGCTCGCCTGTGGATAGGCCCATTAAAAAAGAGGCAAATGGGTAAAAAACAGTTTTCACCGGATCTTTTTGCATACCCGTTAGAGGTAGAAAAACATCGATGTTCACGATCATCGATGTTCACAATCATCGATATTTTAAATAAATATATTTTTTAGTTTATTTGAATCTCTTGTTAATGTTTAAAAATAAAAATAAAATTTTCAATAAATAATTGTCCAATTTTTTATCCAAGTTTTAAATAAAAACAACACATAAAATCTAACTTTGGGCGAAGCTGAAGTTGATATACCATTCCAGCTAAAACTGTATGCAGTATGAGAATATCATAATAAAACCAATTTATTACAATACAAAATCTAAAAAAAAGTCCCAAACTTCTATCTTAAAAAATACCAAAGTTGGTATTTTTACTAAATCGGCCGATCGAAGATATAGTCGGCCGATCGTTATTTGATCGGTGGGATCAACTGACCAAAAATATCTGTGCGAAATTGCAACTTTCTGTCTGTCTTGCGTCATTTCAGAGCAGTTATATGGCTGCTATGGGATATAGTCGGCCCATTCTTATTAAATTTGGAATGTCGTATAATTTTGCCAAAAAAAGGCATGTGCAAACTCTCTTACTTTAAAAACAATAAAATATAAATTTTTCGATCTATCAGGTTTGTGGCAGATATAGGATATAGTCGGCCGATCCCGGCCGTTCCGACTTATATACTCGTGCAAAGAAAAGAAGGATGTGTGCAAAGTTTTATAGTCGATAGCTTTAAAGCTAAGAGACTAGTTCGCGTAGAAACAAACAGACAGACGGACATGCTCATATCAACTTATTGAGTGCTGTGGTATATTTGGAGGCGAATTAATAATTTTTTTAAATTAATTCCAAGCATAGCTCAGCTCTGCTTCTTCCCCGCGCTTTCTCTATTTCTGCATTATTCCTTTGCTTTCTTCAAAGCTCCCATTTCGGCTTCCTATTTGGCACAGTGGTTCAAGGTATAGTGTTTTTTAACTTTATATATATTAATTTTGTTTTGTTAATTAATCATATGCAATTTAAGGGTATAGTCTCATGTTCCGGGCTACTTTTAGAGGTTATTTAAACAAAAATTTGTTGTAACAAAAAATAATGAGATCGTTTCCATTTTCAAATATTTTTTTTCAGGCATAATAAACTATTTGAAAATATTTTTAATTTATTCTTGTGTAGTTTAATACACTTTATAGCATGTCAAAGTATGCATCTTAAAAAAGTGGTAGGTCCCTGGCTCAGGTGATTTCGACTGCTAGGGTCATCCGAAACAAAAAATTTGAAAAGATTAATTTATTGTAAGCTTATGGCTCTTTCCCGTACTAGAATGAAATATTTTTATTAATAAACAATAAAATGGCAAAATCACCAAAAAATTTTTTTTTAATAACAATTTTTTTTTTTAATTAATGATAAATAAAAAACTAATTATTAAAAATAAATGATTCTAATATGGGACAAAAGTGTTACTTTTTAGAACAACATATCCAAATTTCAGCTAGATCGGTACCATAGAATTTTGAGATTCACCTGCGCCGGACACTAAAATGTCGTTCCGAGAAAAACACGTTTAAAGTTTAGACGCTACCGAATAACTCATACTATTCGGTGTAGACGCGCTCTCGATTATGGGCTGTATCTCTGTCATTATTTGATATTTTTATTTGAAACTTCAACAGTTATTCTTAATTAACAGTACTTTCCAAATATGTGAAAAGAAAAAAATCGATTTTTTCAATCTCACACATGAGACTACACCCTTAAACTGGTCTGTTCTGTAAAGTCTTGCAACAAGACAATCTCCTCATCCCAGCCTACCATCCGTTGCTGGCTATGTGAAAACGTCGTACACGCCAAGTGTGCCGGGTTCACTGTTCATTGTTTCTGATGCCGTTTCCCGTAGATCTGGTTAACATTGTTGTTGTGAAAATTGTCGTGGTGTCCAAGACGAAATGAGGTCGTTCATGAGACAGACTAAGAATGGATTTAAAGAGTTGATTACTAGTTTTCGTAAAATCAATGACCAGCTCTGTGCGCTTGACACTCAGTTAGCCGCTCCAAAACCTTAGTTGCTTCGATTCGGACAAAAGTCACCTGCTATTCCGGATTTTGCCCGGTACCCTGTATGGGGAGAACGAACAGGTGGACACGTATGCACTGCTCGACGAGGGATCATCTGTGACGCTCATAGACGACGACCTCGTCCTAAGCCTACACCTAGAGGGTGTGAATCGACAACTAAACGTTCAATGGTTTGGCAGAGAACCTACGAGAATGGTTACCCTACAACTCAGTGGAGCGGGAAAACCAAAGCGACATGGATAAACGAACGTGCACGCAGTAAGCAATGTAAATCTTCCGATGCAGAGTTTACGTCGAAAAGATGTGAAGACGCCCAGGGCGAGCGCAGGCCTACCAGTGAAGCCGTTCAGCAACGCAGCGTCAAGGATCCTTATTGGGCTGAATCACGCACACCTAGAAATACCACGCTAGAAGACCAGAAGCTTTGGTTCAGGAGGACCATATGCAGCAGCTACCAAGCTAGGATGGGTAGTATATGGACCAGTAAGACGTCAATCGAGTCCACTGATAGAGAGACCGTGTTTTCTAGACGTGATCAGCGAAGATGAAGAAGAAGAAGAAGAGAAGATGATCAGCGATTACTTCGAAATAGAGAACTTCGGAGTGAAGCCAGCGCCACCAGTCGTAGCCAGTGACGATGAACGGGCCCTGGGCATCATGAAGGGCACTATTAAGCGGATAGGCCAACGATGTAAGACTGGGCTGCTATGAAAGGATGACGAGATGAAGCTGACACACAGTTACAGCATGGCACTGCAGCGACTCGTCAACATTAAGAGGAAGATGAAGCTCAACACGAACTTCGCTCGGGCCTACAATGGAATTATGAATGACTACCTCAAGAAAGGATACGTGCAACGACTAGAGCAGCAGTAGGTCACTTATGGCAACAGTGGCAAGTTGTGTTACCTGCCGTGGTAAGCAAGCCTGGCAAGATCCGTCTAGTTTTCGATTCGATCGGATTCGATCTGTGCCGGTTTTCTTCCAGCTCGTCAAGAGTGTTCAGAACCTCAAGTACGCTAGGCACCAACGAGAACAAAAGGTGCTAGGGAATGTATTGGCATCATCGGTTGTGCCAATAGTGTGTAGTGTCAAAAACCAGCAACGTGATGACCAGGGAACGCAGCCTTACGAAGAGGGAGTTCCTCAGCGTAGTGATGTCCACGTTTGATCTGATTGGGGTTTTGAACAGTTACATGGTAACCGCTAATCTACTAATGCGAGAGATTTGACTGAGAGGAGTCACCTGGGATGAGCCGTCGGCAGGCGAGCTAGCCACAGCTTTCGAGAGTTGGCGGCAAGAGGTGAACTATGTGGAGAACTACTGAACTACTGGACGAGTACGAGCACTTCAGCTTCACGTCTTCGTGGACTCCAGCTAGTCAGCGACGGCGCATTGGCGGGCAACCTACGCAAGCAACGACGTGAAGGCGTATTTCAGTTGTTCCACACCGAAGTGTGCACCGATGAGGACGATGTCAATCCCGAGACTGGAACTTTAAGCGGCCGTGCTAGGGACATGGCTGATGAGCACTATGAAACAGGAACACAGTATGGAGATTGAAGGAGGCATACTTTGGACGGATTTCAAGACCGTGCTGCACTGGATACGCAGCACACACCAACGATACAAGCAGTTTGTTGGAAACCGGGTGGCAGAAATCCTGGAGTCAACAGAACTGTCCCAATGGAAATGGGTACCCACTGCCGAAAACGTTGTGAAAAAGGAACACAGTATGGAAATAGAAGGATTCGTACTTTGGACGGATTCCAAGACCGTGCTGCACTGGATATGCAGCACCCACCAGCGATACAAGCAGTTTGTTGGAAAACGGGTGGCAGAAATTCTGGAGTCGACAGAAGTATCCCAATGGAGATGGGCACCCACTGCCGAAAACGTGGCAGACGACGCAACCAGGCCGCAACGCCATGTCGACCTAAGTTAAGGATCTGGATGGTTCTTCAGACCGGCTTTCCTACGAGAACTAGAAGGGAATTGGACCAAGAGTTCCACGAGTAGTAGTTGCCGCGCAGAAGCAACCGACGAGGTTTGCCTTGGTGAGTGCAAACGGGTTCATTATATCTTTACAGAGATTTTCAAATTACAACCGGCTAGTAAGGACCACAGATCAGCGAGAGATCACAGAAAGAGGAATGAGGTACTGCGGTAGGTCAAATTTATTACTAAGTTGAGGTTCTAAGTTATTTCCCCAATAGAATAAAACATACATCGTTGGTTACGCTAAAAGGTCTGGTATTTTTTTGTTTCGGTGATGTGCCAATTGTTAGAAGCAACTCCTGGGATTTAAATTGGCGTCAATCTGCATTTATCCACTGGTATTCCTAATAACAACGACTTTGTTAATCGTTAGAACATATATTTTATTAATATTCTTATCTGGGCCGATCAACAAAAATGCTCATGAACGACGAACTACCACCTCTGTTGGTCGCTCCACTCGCACTCTCTGACAAAGTGGTGCTCTCGATGATAGCCGCGTGCGACGCTTACTCATAAGCGTGTTACAATTATACATATTATAATTATATACATATTATGTATATTATACATAAAATAATTGTACCATGCTTATAAGTTGTCCAGTAGAGATGGAAAAACATCGATTTGGCCCGGTAAACATCGATTTTGGCATCATTTTACGTTATAAACATTACAGAACTTGCCTATCTGGTTTCTTAGACGCTCTT